GGGCCACGCCCCCTGGTGCCCGGCAACCCCAAATGGTTGGGGACCACTGCTCTAAATGTTGCCAATTGAATAGGATTTAAAGGTTAGACTGCATATTTAAATATATTATATTTTAGTAATCATCAGGGCTCGACAATCTATGTCATCGACTCGCCCGTGGAGAGTAGATTACAATCCGGAAGAGCCGGGTTCGGGCGATCTGCGCATGTGCAGATCGCCAGACAGCGCGGCTGGCGAGCGGGGCTCGCCGCGGCTCAGCAAGCCCTGGTAATCATCACTCTGACCTTTTGCCTGCTACTTGTCATCACTTAAAATCTCTCTTTTATAATCAATGAACTAGCTTATCTTTACCAGTGAGTTGGGCTGAAGTGTTTGGTATCTGCTTATATTTACTGAGGCTGAAGTACGCGCACTCTCCATCGATGAGGCGGTGGACCAATTAATAAGTCTGCACTGCTCAAGACGGTTTATTCCTGGGGAACATTGCTGGGAGTTGGGAGGATATGGTTGGTGCCTTTCTCTAAGTGATTCAGCAGTGGCTCTCAGAGCGTTCCTTTTTTAGAGTAGAAATATCATTGTTCTGACTTTGCTGGAGAACTTCTTGGAGACCTTGGATGCTGGAGCTATACTACCTTAAGTGAAATGGCCAAGAAGGGCTGCATTAAACAAAGGCTTTCTTTCAAGACATTCAGGTGTTAAACAATGAAGGGAATCCTAGTCAACTGCACACTTACACTTATGGTTTTGTGAGGTCACCATTTCACTAGCTGTGCAGGTTAATACCTAATCTAGTCAGAACCTGAGCTTCTAAAGTAAAACAGATGAGAAGTTATAAATCAAAAGATATTACCTAAGCTATCTAAGCTACAGAATAAGGGCAAGCTTATATTTCTTTGCTGGTTAAATTCAAAGCAACCTACTTGTACTACTAGGTACAATTATAAGGCCTTCACACTTCTTACAAGGTTGACCTACCAAGTATTGTCTTGTCTACACTACTGCTTCTTTAACTTACACAATTCTTCAGTGTAGTCCCTGGGCACTGACTAGTATTAGAAATACCCATTTACTGTAACTTCTGAAACTGCTGATACAAGTTAGTATGTGGCACTGATATTTATATCATTGCAAAACCCAAGGTACACAGAGAAAGTCATTTTACACACATTACACGGAAGTTGCTCATTTTATAGGACATGCATATCTATTTCCTATTTTCAGCTAGCCACAACCCAATCCAAGTGATCTCTGGAATGGCTTTGGAAACCTGACATTGGGTAAAATGAGTAACCTGGAAACCCTGAACGACCCATCATCTCGGGCACTGGCACACTTACAGCAGGAGAGTGGTTTGTTACATTGACTCTCTCCTCAGACGCTATGCTACCAGCACTCCTAGCTACCTTCGAGACACCACCGACATCCTGAGGAAACTACAGAGCATCAGTAATCTTCCTGAAAACACCATCCTGGCCTTCATGGCCATAGAAGCTCTTTACACCAGCATTCCGCACACAGCTGGATTACTGGCTGTGTCCCTGACGACACCACCACACAACTGGGTACTGAGCTCTGTGACCTCACCCACAACTAGGTAAGGGGTAAATAGTGAAGAGGGCAAAATTTGCAGATGATACCAAACTGCTCAAGACAGTTAAGACCAAAGCAGACTGTGAAGAGCTTCACAAAGACCTCACCAAACTAAGTGATTGGGCAACAAAAAGGCAAATGAAATTGAATGTTGATAAGTATAAAGTAATGCACATTGGAAAAAATAATCCCAACTATACACACAACCTGATGGGGACTAATTTGTCTACCATTAGAGAGATGTTGGTGTCATTGTGGATAGTTCTCTAAAAACATCCATTCATTGTGCAGCGGCAGCCAAAAAGGCAAATAGAATGTTAGGAGTCATTAAACAGAGAATATCTTATTGCCGCGATATAAAACCATTGTATGCCAACACACTGAATACTGAGCTGTTTTGGACAGAAGTCTGAGGGGTAGCTGTGTTAGTATTACACGGTGCTTGCCACGAGGCACACAAACAAGCCCCGCTCGCCAGCCACGCTGTCCGGCGCTCTGCACATGCGCAGATCACCCAAACCCGGCTCTTCCGGGTTACAATCTACTCGCCACAGGCAAGTAGACTATTATTTGTCGAGCCCTGTTCATGAAAATACATGTATTTTATTTGACATCAGGAAGGGGGGTTAGGGAGGGGTAAGTGGAAGGACGTGAGGGAGGAATGAGACACAAGCCCCCAGTGGGGCAGACCAGGGAGGCTCTTAGTGCTCCTCAGGGTGGAAGCTCTCCTGCAGGGCCTCCTGGATACTAACAGCCCCCCGATGGACCTCCCAGATGGCAGCCTGCAGACAGTGCAGCCAGGCTTGCATCAACGCATCCACGAGAAGCACCAGAGTGCCCTGAGGCAGCTCTGGCTCCATGGTGCAGAGTGCTGTGGTGTCCTGAGTGAGGGCAACTAGAGCACACAGAGACAAAATGCTTTGCTGTCCCTCATCGAGGTAGGCAAGCAAGCAGGGAAACCTGAGAACTGTTTGTCTGGGGGGGGTGGTGGTCACCCTTTAAGCACAGGCATCAGATAGCTTCAGGCAGCAGCCACACAAAGTAGCTCCTGACCTGATGTCCTCCCAGACCTGGTTCTGGCCAGCCTTAAATGCGATTCAGTGTCCACTCAGTGTGGGCGGGCTATTTCGAAAGAGCAAAAGGCTATTTCGAAATACATTTTGTGAGTAGAGACATTATTTTGAAATAAGGTATTTCGAAATAACACTGTAGTGTACACATATCCTAAGATGCTTGCAGAAATATTGGTTGTTTTGTTTTATTAAATGTTTTCAGTTACAGACTAACATGGCTACCCCTCAGACTTCTGTCCAAAACAGCACCGGCCATCTTTGTCAGTAGAATGGGAAGGGTTTTGTAGACGTGTTTTGTTTGTTAATACAGCAAAAAGAACTAAAACCTGACTCTCAGAAATTAAGTGATGGCAAATGCATGAGTATTTAGAATTACAATTGATTGACAAAATTGACAGGGTGGCAGAGAAATGTAGTTTCACTGAAGGTTTCAAGTGGTAAAATAGAAACAATCACCAAGCAAAAGAGAAAAAAGCACAACAAATCAATACAGACACATTATTTAGCATAAACACTAACGTAACAGAGAGCTTTAATGCTGCAACAAACCCAAAAAACACACACCAGCCGCCACCCACCCACTAAGTTCCAGAGAGAGCAGGTTCAGCTTGTGTGTTTAAAAAGGCAGGCATGTAAAAGGCAGAAGAGCCAAGGAATCCAAAATCCACTAGGGAGTTTTCCATTGTCAGTAGATTTAATGTGGAAGCTCTCATACAACTGCATAAGTTTAGGTTTGGGTTCATGCCTCTCTCTCCCCGCAAATATAACAGAGCAAAAAATGAAATAAAAAAGGGAAATTAAGTGAATACAAAACCATGACATCGGTTTACTTCATACTCTTGTGGGGAAAGTCCTAAATCTAATCCAGTATGCCAATTCCTCTAATACTGATCTTGACAGCTGATTTTTTTTAATGACTCAAGATTTTGTTCAAAAGAAAACTTCTAAAATAAATTGCAGCCCCAAAAGGTCATACAAAATGCAAATCATTTTTTTTTCACATTTCAGTTTATAATTACGGAAATCATTAAACTTATCTTGATAAGAAACCTGGCAGTTCAACAGACAGAAGTATTTCACTGAATTATATTAGTCGCTGCAAATTAAGTGACCCTTCACTCCTTATCGCTCTCACGGATGGTCTAATGGAAGAGGTCGTAAGCATAAATATTGGAGGACACTCGCAGCATCATGGTCAGTGTTGGCACAAGCTGGCATGGCTGTACAGTATTGTTAGATCATCTCCTATGGATAAGGCAACCAAATCCAGAATTTCTTCATTCACAAAGCAAGACTTTACTCCACAGTCTCAAACTTCCAATTTCCATTAATACCCATCCATCTCA